AGGTCCTTGGGCAGCCCCGAAACGGGGACCTTGGATGTGAGCGGCCTTCGTGGGGACGACAGAGGATGTGGAAGGTGGGGATTGGTTCAGGGGGTGGAGGCGGGGCTCATTAGTCCGGGGGTTAATTAGTGACTAAAGGAGTCGGGAAGCTTTTCAGCCGGCAACGTGATGGGGATTGAAACGTGTCCCGGGGGTTTGTCTGAGGGTCATTCCGTGATTTCAGGGAGTTTTGCGTGGGAAAAGAGCTTGAAGAAGAGAAAATCCAACCCACCCCCCAGTCCTGCCCCACGTCCCTCAGCCCCACACCTTGGAAATCCCTCCAGGGATGGGGGTTCCACCCTGGGCAAGCAACGCCTTTTTCCAGGAAGACATTGTTCCCAAGATCCAATCTGAACCTCCCCTGGGTAAACTGAGGCTGTTTGCACGATATAAAAAGGATGGGACAGGCTGGAGAGGGTCCAGAGAAGGGCCACAAGGATGAGCAGAGGACCTGCCAGATGAGGAGAAGCTAAGAAAACTGGGTTTGTTCAGTTTGGAGAAGACTCAGGGGAGATCTTATGACCACGTTCCAGGACTCAAAGGGTGGCTGCCAAGAAGGTGGAGACTCCCTGTTTACAAGAAGTCACACGGAAAAGACCAGGGGTCATGGGCACAAGTTTCTCCAGGGGAGATTCTGATTGGACACAAGAGGTAAATTCGTCACCATGAGAACAGTCCAACATTGGAAGTGTCTCCCAAGGGGAGTGGTGGGTTCCCTCACACTGGACAGTTTTAAGTCTCAGTTTGATAGGGTCCTGAGCCACCTCATATCAACTATATTAAATACCCTGAAAGGTTGGACCAGATGATCCTTGAGGCCCCTTCCAACCTGGTGTTCTAGTAGTCCAGGATCCTCTCATCCTGTCACCTGTTCCTTGGGATCAGAGCTTCACCCCCCCTGGCTCCAACCTCCTCTTGGGCAGTTGCAGAACCAGGTCTCCCCTCAACCTCCTTCTCTCCAGGCTGGACACCCCCAAACTCCTCCTCCCAACCCATGTTCTGGGCCACACCAGCATTTCTGGCTTCAGGATCCACCCCAGAGCCAGGACCCTCGTGGGGAGCCCAGGAGCAGGATGAGACCCCCGAGCACAGCCCTGCCCTGCTGATACTCCCCCAGAAAAACATGCCCTCAACATCTGCCTGCCAAACTGTCCAAAGACTCCAGGTCAGACTCAACATATTCAATCCCAAAGAAGGATTTTGGATGCCTGAAATGTTTATTTTGTTTCCTTTTAACTGGCAATACCAGCATCTGCAAAAAAAAAAAGACCAACCCTCTAAACACAAGACAGGAACTCCAAAGCCAACATTCCTTCTTCAAGCTCTGCAGTACATACATAAAATACAAACTTCAAACAGCTGCAAAAATAGTGTCTTTGGAAGAAAATAGAGTTTCTACATCAGATACAAGAAAATAGGCTTCTTCAGTCCAACCCAGAGCCTTTGCAACAGAACACAAAATCTAATACTTTTTGTTGTCCAGAGGTTTTACAATCAATATTCCCGTGTGAATTGGCTCCTGTTGGGCAGCAGCTTCTGCCCAGCTCTGGTCACAGCTCCGTGCAGCTTCTCCAGCTCTCACAGGCAGAGGGTCCCAGGCCCCCCTCTCCATCCCTCCATCCCCCCAGGAACCAACCCCAGCCAAGCTGATGGGAAGGAGCAGGGAGTTTCTCTTCAGCAGCAACACCCCCTGGAGCAGGGACCTTTCTGAACTGCTGGTTTCCACTTCCATCCCCTTTTCCTGCAACATGGCCAGGGCACCTGGAAAACCTCAGCCCAGGCACAGGGAGGGAGCTGCTGCCTCAGGTGCCTCCCTCTTCCTCAGCCACCAAACCTGCCCAGATCGGTGCAGGCTGCACTGAGGCCCCTGCACCCTCCCCCCTTTCAGCCTAACACTCCTAACACTCCAGGCTTGTTTCAGAGGGGACAGTGGAAGCACAGGCAGGGACCTGCTGCTCTTCAGCCCCCTCTGTGCTCTGAGGGAGATGAGCTGTCTTAGCAGTGCAGGTACACACCTTCTTCTGCTCCAACCCATCCAAGGGCAGGTGCCTACGTGGCCCCTTCTCCCCCCTTCCCACTCCCCAGGGTTCAGCAATCCCAGACAGCTCCAGGGAAGCTCCAGCCTGAACCCTCCCAGCTCCACCTCCTTTCCCAGAGCCAGGGAGCACAAGTTCCCCTCTGATCCCCCAGCAGGGCCCAGCTGCTCTTCACCAGCAGAACAATCACACAGGAAACAAAGACAATGGAACACAGGAAAGTGCTTTCGACAGGGGAGGCTGGAGAAACCAGCCCCTCCAGCAGGGAGGAGTCCCGTGGCACAATGTACTTCACAGTTTCTATCATCCTGGGAGGAAGCCCCTTGTGGTTCTCAGTCCCAGGGCCACCTCCTGGCTGTCACATCCCACCTTCACAAGGCACTTGTCTCCACACAAGGCTGGGGGAGACACCCTGAGGAGCCAGAGCTGCTGGTGCTGGCTGGCTTTGCCCCAAGGGCTTCACACCACGAGGGAGCTGTGGAAGACCACGCTCTCCTCGGGCTGCCCGCGCTTCCAGTGGTCGTAACTCCGTGGAGAAGCCTTGGACACCTCACTGAAACTCTCCACTGCAGGGTCCTTCCGTGCCCCGAGGAAGGGGCTGGGGGCTGGGGACTGGCAGGATGTAAACGTGCCCATGCCAGGGCTGGGAGAAGCTGGGAACCCTCTGAAGAGGAAACCCACGTTTGGGAAGAGGGGCTTGACCAGACTGACGGGGCAGAAGGCAGAACCGGTGGGGTTGAAGTGCACTTTGTTCTTGTCTGGACAGGAAGGCTGGAAAGGCTGGTCAGGGCTGGGGGAGCTGGAGGAGAGAGACAGAGAGGACATGGTCAGGAGCAGACACTTGAGGGCACTGAGCAGCCACAGGGAAAACACCCGGAGTGGGGCAACTTCCAGGAGCCTGGCTAAAAGCTGAACTGCCTCTGAGCTGGACTGCTCTGCAGGCACAGAGAGACATGAAGGGCCTGTTCTGTCTTGAAAGCATCACTGATTTCTGGGACAGCCCTCTCCTCTCACAGGGGAGGGCCTTCTCCTCTTCTCCAGAGGCTCTGCAGGCCACAAAAAAACCCCTGCAAGGAACCATAAGATCCTTCCCATCACATCCGAGGGTCAACAATTCAACTTTCAGCTCTTCCCACCACGTTGTTGTTGGGAGTTTTTCCTAGAGGCTGTTCCCTACTTTTAAGACAGGCCAGGGGGGGTTATTGCAGCAGCAGGAGCCTCAGCTGCCCCACCCCACATCCTCCCACAGGACCAACCTCATGTGAGTTCTCTTCTGCCAACAACTCCTCATACTTACGAAGCTTCCTCAAAGGCCCGGACCTTCTCACAGCCCTCAGGAGGTTCCCGTTTGAACATGTAACTGTGGTTGGGTCGCCTGAACCCTCCCAGCTCCACCTCCTTTCCCAGAGCCAGGGAGCACAAGTTCCCCTCTGATCCCCCAGCAGGGCCCAGCTGCTCTTCACCAGCAGAACAATCACACAGGAAACAAAGACAATGGAACACAGGAAAGTGCTTTCGACAGGGGAGGCTGGAGAAACCAGCCCCTCCAGCAGGGAGGAGTCCCGTGGCACAATGTACTTCACAGTTTCTATCATCCTGGGAGGAAGCCCCTTGTGGTTCTCAGTCCCAAGGCCACCTCCTGGCTGTCACATCCCACCTTCACAAGGCACTTGTCTCCACACAAGGCTGGGGGAGACACCCTGAGGAGCCAGAGCTGCTGGTGCTGGCTGGCTTTGCCCCAAGGGCTTCACACCACGAGGGAGCTGTGGAAGACCACGCTCTCCTCGGGCTGCCCGCGCTTCCAGTGGTCGTAACTCCGTGGAGAAGCCTTGGACACCTCACTGAAACTCTCCACTGCAGGGTCCTTCCGTGCCCCGAGGAAGGGGCTGGGGGCTGGGGACTGGCAGGATGTAAACGTGCCCATGCCAGGGCTGGGAGAAGCTGGGAACCCTCTGAAGAGGAAACCCACGTTTGGGAAGAGGGGCTTGACCAGACTGACAGGGCAGAAGGCAGAACCGGTGGGGTTGAAGTGCACTTTGTTCTTGTCTGGACAGGAAGGCTGGAAAGGCTGGTCAGGGCTGGGGGAGCTGGAGGAGAGAGACAGAGAGGACATGGTCAGGAGCAGACACTTGAGGGCACTGAGCAGCCACAGGGAAAACACCCGGAGTGGGGCAACTTCCAGGAGCCTGGCTAAAAGCTGAACTGCCTCTGAGCTGGACTGCTCTGCAGGCACAGAGAGACATGAAGGGCCTGTTCTGTCTTGAAAGCATCACTGATTTCTGGGACAGCCCTCTCCTCTCACAGGGGAGGGCCTTCTCCTCTTCTCCAGAGGCTCTGCAGGCCACAAAAAAACCCCTGCAAGGAACCATAAGATCCTTCCCATCACATCCGAGGGTCAACAATTCAACTTTCAGCTCTTCCCACCACGTTGTTGTTGGGAGTTTTTCCTAGAGGCTGTTCCCTACTTTTAAGACAGGCCAGGGGGGGTTATTGCAGCAGCAGGAGCCTCAGCTGCCCCACCCCACATCCTCCCACAGGACCAACCTCATGTGAGTTCTCTTCTGCCAACAACTCCTCATACTTACGAAGCTTCCTCAAAGGCCCGGACCTTCTCACAGCCCTCAGGAGGTTCCCGTTTGAACATGTAACTGTGGTTGGGTCGAGGAGAAGAAGCAAAGACCAGGACTGGAGAAGGGCTGCCCTCCTCTGGCAGGGGGGGAAAGACAATTCCTGAGCACATTTTTTTCAAAGAACCCCAGTGTGCTCAACCCCAGACCTGCTCCTTCTAGACCCTGGGGCTGCAAGGCCACCAGCCCCCAGAGCTGCAGGGTTTGATCTGTGCAGTTCCCAGCTCCATCCAGAGCTAGAAACCTCCCACCTGGAGGGGAATTACTGGAGCTTCACCAGTCCACTGCAGTGTGGCCAAACTGGCTAGACCCTCCTCCCATCTCAGCTGCAGCTCCCACCCCAGCAGGCAGAGGGAGGAGCCATCACACCGAGGTTTGGGTCACACTGTCCCCTTTGTGTCCCCTGCCCTCCAGCCCTTCTGCTCTTACCCTTCTCCTTTGGATCAGGCTGCAGCTCATCCCCAGCAGAGGGGGCCTCCTCTGCTGCCAGCCTCCCCGGGGCGTGTGGGGACAGGTGGAGAGGCACAGAAGGGGAAGGAGAGAGGCTGCTGGAGCTGCTGCTGGGCTCCAGGGGCAGGGACACATCTTCAGAGCCTCTCTGGGCAGGTGCTGGTGCCCTGTGACCATCTGGGACATCCAGGATCTAGGGAGGAAGGAAGGTCTTAGCAGAGCAAGAGGCCCTGACAACAATGGGTGGGTGTTTGCACCTAAGAGAGCAGCTACTTGGGGAGTTGGATCCAGGCACAGGCAGAGTCTCCACCTCAGGAGTGAGGGCTGCAACCAGAGGGACAGCAGCTCTTCTGCATCCTCTAACTCACTCCAGTTTTTAAGCCATCTGGGATCACTTCTCCTATATCTGCACAAAGCAGCCTCTGGATGCCAGTCTAAGATAGTTAAGACCCCAAGTTCAAGTCTTAAAGCTGTCACTGAGGTGTCATCTCTCCTGAGATCACTGCTGGCTGGTCTCTCACAGCACCAGGAAGGTCTCAGCAGCTACTTGACCCAATTCTGACAGTTTCATGCCCAGAACAAACTTAAACCAGACACAGAGACTGTCCCCATGGTCAAGAACCAGCCCACCCAGAAGATTCAGTGTAATCTCATGGCCATCAACTTACCCTCAAAAGCTCTTCATCTCCCTGTTCCTTCACAAATACTTCCTCCAGCTCCTGGTTTAGCCCTTCCAGGCTCCTGTGCAAGCAGGGGCTGAGCCTCAAAATGAGAGATGGAGAAAGGAAGCCTGAAGAGGAGTCCTGGAACAATCCAGAATGAAGGAGGTTAGAGTGGGATCTGCACAAATTCAGCAGTTACATCCTGTTCCCACAGCTCTCCAGGGCTCTGCCAATGCCCTCTAGGAGGCAGGTGGCAGAAGAGTGACAGCAAAGTCACAAACTCCCTGCCTGCAGACCAAGGCACAGGGCTGGAGAAGAGGGAAGAGAAAACAACCTCTCCCTTCTCAGGCATGAGAGCAGAAGTCTGGGAGCAGCCTGGACACCTGCCCATAGGAGTTTGCTCTCCAGCTCACCAGGACATGGGGGAGACAGGAACGTACCCTGAGGGATGATCCAAGGACAGCATGGTCCCCCTGGAGTGGGGAGCTCTTCTCCTTGTCTTTGCCACTTCTGCCGTTGAGCTTTGTTCTCTGGAGCTGCTGCTTTAGCTTGGCAATCTGGCAAACAAAACTGCAGCTGCAGCACCAGACAAGCCAACACCAAAAAGGACCTCGTGTCTCTCCCTCCCCACCTCTGCCAACCCACAAGGAAGTGCCAAAAATAGAGATGGTTTCAATCACACCAGCAGCAGCTCCAGCCACCCCTCAAAGGATGGACCACAAGTACTTATGAGGCCTCATCCAACCCCCCTCTCCTGCCCTGTGGGCAGATCCTTCCTCTGCTGGACCTGGGGGATCATCTACCCACAGAGCATGAGGAACCTGGCCCTGCTGGGACCCACCAACACCACCAAGCAGCCCACTGAGCTTCCACGGAGCTGCTCTCTAGGAAGCCAACAAGATGGACCTTTAGCTGAACCACAGAGTGTCAGGGATGAAAACAAAGGCTGAGGGCTCATCCTCAGCAGCACCCTGTCCTCCCAAGCAAGCAGGAGCCTCCTCTCCATAAGCCCCCAGCACAGATCTCAGCCAGGGGAGGGGAGGGCCCTGGTTTACCTCTCGGCGGTGATCTGTGCTGCCCCAGGAAGCTGAACGCTGGTGAGCCCCGGAGCTGCCTCTCCCCACCTCCACCTCCTGCCAGGACACTGGGGTCTGGAGTGATGAGAAACACAGCTGAGAATAACCACAACATCTCCCACTTTAGAGCCTGGTGCTAAGAGTCCTAGGGGTGACCACCTACTGCCCTTTCACACTCCTCTTCCAGTCTCCCCCCATTAACACGTGCCCACGTACGGGCATTAAGAGAGAACCAGCTGTTTGTATCTGCCAGAACCACAGAACTGGGACCAGCTTTCTGCCTCTCACCAAACTGGACCTCACAGACCTACACTGCCCAGAGGTCAGTGGCTTCATCACCACAAGTACTTGGGGAGATAAAGCACATGAAGCTATTACTGGGGAGAAACCACCACAGCCACCAACCCCCTGGAGAAACCACCACAGCCACCCCTGGTGCTGTGAGTGGTGACACAGGCACCAGGCACTCCTTGGACAAAGAGCAAAAGCCTCACCCAGCTGTGAGAAGACCCAACTGCTGCTCAGACCTCAGGCTCCTGTACTGGAGCTCCAAGGTGTAACCAGAGGCAGTCTGGCCCTGCTGAGCAGCTGCTGCTGGAACCCTGGGAGAATCCAGCTGCCTTCCCAGCTCAGTCTCCTCGTGCAGAAAACCAAGCCCAGCACCACGTTGTGCAGCTGTTTTCCAAGCAACAGCCACACTTGGAGTATCAATGGGAATCAGAACAGGCTGTTAATCTGATCAGCAGAGGGTGTGGAACTTCCTTCCCCTGAACTCAGCCCTCTCAGTGACTCCAGGAGCAGAGCAGTCCCCAAGCACAGCGTTTTCAAGACCAGGCATCATTCCCCCCCCCCCAACATCACATTTCAGTGCCTCCCAAAGTGCTTGCCCTGTGTCCCCGCTGCTGCCAGTTCTGGGGGAGGCTTTAGATGAGACTTCTCTCCTCAGCCACAGGCTGCCAGAAGGTGCAAGGGCCTGAGAAGTTCCTCTCTGAGCAGCTCAACTGATCTCCCCAGAGGCTGCTGCAAGAACAGCAGCTGTTTTAAACAACCCTGGTTGAGTCATGGGGATGACAGAAGTCTCTTCCTTCAAAACAGTTTTCAAAAATCTAAGCCAAAGAAACAAGGAGAGTTACCTCGAGAGGCACCAGGTTTTCCTTCTGTAAAGGGACACAGACGATTTCTAGGCAGAAACTCAACCTGACTGAACAGGCTCTGAATGAAACCCCTCCTCACACACAGCCCTGGAAGCAGAGCACAGTGTGTTCCCTAAACCATTTGCTGTCCAGGGCTCCATCCTGCAGTGCCTGCAAGCAGCAGACACCCCAGCACAGTTCCCTGCACCTTAGTGCTCAGTTTCCTTTGAGAGAAGGAATCTGTGCAGCCTGAACCACCTCCCCAAGGTCCCCCAGAGCTCAGAGTACTTGGTTTCCTCCATCCCTGTGCTACCCCTGAGCCAAGGGACACACCAAACCCTTCAGCAAGGACCAATCCTGCAGCTTCAGCACATGGCACATCTGATCTCATTTCCTCCCTCAAACACTTTCTCCTCAACAACTCCAGCATCACCATTTGGCCATTATCCCAAAACATTGTGTCATTCTGTATCCCAGCAGATCACACACATCAAGCTAAAGAGGCAAAGGTCTAAGAGACAGGACCACATCCCACCAGCATGGCAAGAAGCAGGTTTGTGGGAAGCTGGAATGCTGCAAAGAATAGTCCTTCATTGTAGGAGATGACAGAAACTCTCCTCAAGTCTCTGGGAGACTTTTGAGCCCTGTTTGAGGAGTCACTTGTTGCTGTGACACCCGCAGCACTGAGCACTGCTCTGGTGCTCACAACAAGAACAGGGCCTAAAAAGGAAGAAAGGAAGAGAGAACAGAAAGATGCTGCTTGCAATAGGAAGGCCTGAAAGTGAGGAGCAGGTCCCACCTCTCACAGGCAGACTGGCAAGGCAGAAGGAAATGACAGAACCTTTTGTACCAACTGTGGCAAAACCGCTTCCTCAGAGAGAGGAGACAAAAAAAGGCTTTGCAGAAAAAGAGAAAACCATGGGCTCCAATCCTGCCCGGGCTGTTCCCTCACCCTCACCTCAGCACCTGCAGCTCTAGCTCTCACTTATCCACCTCATGATAGCAAATCTACACAGCTCTGCAACCAGGAGCTGGAGGAGGATGGAAGTAAACATGTGCTGGCTGGCAGAGAGTGTCCCAGAGAGTCTGATAACTGAGGCCTGGAAAGATGGAGGGAGTGGGAACGTCTGGGAGGTTGCAGTGAGGAACATCCCCATGCAGGGGGGTTGGAGCTAGATGATCTTTAAGGTCCCTTCCAACCCAAAGCATTCAATAAGATGGCTCCAGGGAGACTTCAGAGCAACTTCCAGTGCCTGAAGGGGCTCCAGGAAAGCTGGGGAGGGACCTGGGACAAGAGCAGGGAAGGAGAGGACAAGGGGGAATGGATGAAAACTGGGAGAGGGAGATTGAGGTGAGACATGAGGAGGAAATTCTTTGGTGTGAGGGTGGTGAGAGCCTGGCCCAGGTTGCCCAGGGAAGCTGTGGCTGCCCCATCCCTGGCAGTGTTGAAGGGCAGGTTGGATGGGGCTTGGAGCAACCTGGGCTGGTGGGAGGTGTCCCTGCCCATGCAGGGGGGTGGATCTGGATGAGCTTTAAGGTCCCTTCCAACCCAAACCACTCCATGATTCTATCTTACTGCATGGGGCAGCCTAGAACCAAGAACTTCATGCCCAGCTTTCCACAGACAAGGCATTTGACACACAGAGGTGTGTGTGTGCAGCAGGAGATCAGGGCTCACGTCACTGGTCTCTTGCAAGGTAAGATCAGCACCTACAAGACACCTGCAGGTGACCCATGAAGGGCTCTAGCAAACCCAGCCTGTCCCCTGCCAGAGGGGGGATCAGCTCCAGGCTCAGCAGGGGCTGAATTAACACAGTGCAATCTTCCATTCTGGGAAGAAGGAACCTTTTCCCCAGAAGAGGAAGAAAACCTAATTAGCCCCAAAATACTGGGGGTTAATATTTCCCCCATCACTGATGAAGACAGAAAGGAAGAGTCTGCTTCCCTGGCTCAGAAAGAGAGTGAGATAAATTCTTTCTCTTCCTTTCCAGCACAACCTCTGCCCTCAGCAGCACTCTTGGGTACTAGAACCAAAACAAAAGCAGGCAGGAATACTTTGGAAAAGGACAATGGCAGTTGGAATCCAATTCAGAACTTCCTGCAAACAGCCCAGTAATAAATTGTTGAACAGCAAAGATCAAACAACAAGTTCCCAGAGATTGAATGCATTAAATAAACGACTCGTTAAGCAAACGGATGCTCTTATCCTTCTAAATGCCTTCACCTCTGCAGACAGGAGAGTGCTGTTTGCTGCCACACAGTAATATTTACAGGTTGCTAAGAGTTCCTCGAGGTCTGGAGCTTTTCCATTCTCCAGCAGAGAGCTGGTGAGCCCTTCTGCAGGAGCACCCTTGACTCCTCGCAGCGTGTGGCTCCCAGCCCGTGAGCTTTATATAAGGACTTGGCCCAGAGCTGCACACCAGGAAAAAAGTTGCCTTGAGCCAGGCCTGGAGCAGAGAGCCAGAGGCCATCTGCCTCCAAACAAGGCCAAGGAAATTCTAACTCTGCACCAAAGTGGAACCCATTGAAGCTGAGAAGCAAAAGAAGGGGGGATAAAAGCCTTCCTAGAAAGCTGCAGCGGGACAGAAGGGAAGTGCAAGGCTTGCCCTGCTCACCCTCAGCACACACAGCTCCTCATTGCTGAGACCCTCTCCTGGCACATGGGCACCTGCAGGGGTGGGTACCTGGGTAGCTTTGTCACTCATGCAGGAAGAGGGGGCTCCCTCAGTGTCCCGTGGCCACTGTCCCAGCAGGTAGGAGCCCAGGATGGTGTCGAGCGAGGAGGTGCGGCGCACGCGGGGCTGCCGGGGACGGCCACACTTGTCAGCAGCAGCAGCAGCACAGGGGACACTGGCTGGGGAAGGAGAAGAGAACAGACAATTAGCTTCCCAAAAAGCCACAAGAGAATTACTGAACCCACACCCATGGCAAAGATCACAAGAAGGGAGCCAGCACATACAGAAGAGTCCTCGCAAAGTCCATTTATTTTTTGGAAGCAAGAGTCTTGGTGCTCCTCACACACCCAGGAGCTCCTGCTGCCCCCACAACCAAGGCCACAGGCCCACCCAGCCCCAGCACAGGCAGGTTTGCTGCTCCCAAGTCAGCTACTGAAAACAAGCAGGAATAAAAACCCCACTTGAGTGGAGTGGGGCAGCACAGACTGAGCCCCCCACCCTCCTGTGGGGCCACCATCAGGCTTATCAGCAGGAGGCTGAAGCTCTAGGAGCAAAGATTTTATTGCAGCCCTGAAGTGGCTGCTTGAAACCATTGATTTGACATTCCAGCCCGAGTCAAGGGAGCTGCTCCACAACCCACTAACCTACTTAGCACCCCTGCAGGACCATGGTAGAGAAGCCAACACTGCCCTGTTAAGCCATGTTTCCCACCAGCTGGAGCAAAGTGCTTGGTCAGGGAATCCAGGCTCTGACCCAGCAGCAAAAAGGAGCCTGTGTGCCCCAGTTTCTCCCAAGGAAGCATTTTACTGCTTGCTTCCAGTTTCAAGGAGGCCAAGAGAACATCTGCAGAGTCTTGGATCCTCCAGCACGACCAGGTGAGCCCTTGGTGTGTTGGTAGGTGGGTGCACTCGTGGACCCTGCTCACTGACACAACCCATGGCTGCCTGCTCAGACTGTGCCCTCATCATGGTAACTAGAGACATCATTAACAGAAAAGCTTTGTAAATAAAACTCATAGAATCATGGAGTGGTTTGGGTTGAAGAGACCTTAAAGATCATCTAGATCCAACCCCCTGCATGGGCAGGGACCCCTCCCAGCAGCCCAGGCTGCTCCAAGCCCCATCCAACCTGCCCTTCAACACTGCCAGGGATGGGGCAGCCACAGCTTCCCTGGGCAACCTGGGCCAGGCTCTCACCACCCTCACAGGGAAGAATTTTCTCCTCATGTCCAACCTCAATCTCCCTCTTCCAGCTTTAATCCATCCCCCCTTGTCCTCTCCCTCCCTGCCCTTGTCCCAAGTCCCTCCCCAGCTTTCCTGGCAGGCCCTGTTAAGTCCTGCAGGTCTCATGCCAGTTTGTGTCAGCAGTGGTGCAGACCAGGCACAATCCCACCACAAGGACCAAGAGCCAAGTGTCTCTCCTGCCCAACTCCAGCAAGGGGAGATCCAGAGCACACCCTTTGCCTTCATCCCTGTCTCCCCCAGCACCTCCTGGCCAGCTCCACACTGGAGGTGACCCCTGTGGCCCGGGGGGCAGACAGCACAGCTGCTCTGCAGCCCTGTCCTCACCCTTGCAGCTGAACAAAGGTGCTAAAACCAGAGCCAAAAAGGGAGCAAGAAAGAGGCAAGTTCAAGCCAGCAGGAAGGTTTGTTTGCATTTTGTTTTGATTAGACATGCAAATTACCACGAACATCAGAACCAGCCCTGTGGCCTCCTGGCAAGATATTAAGGCCAGGCAGAGCTCTCTGCTCCAGGCACTTTCTGTACAGATAATTCTCTCCTTTCTCCCCCAAAATGAGGGCACAGAGGCAGGCAGTGAGTTAACCACCCTCACACCAGGGTTAAACTGTTAAGCACCATGTTGTGTTTGCCAAACACCCCTGTATGGAGGTGCCAGGGCACCCACTGCAGGCTGAGGCTGCTCCAGGGACAGGGCTGGTTAAGTACATCTTTTCATCAGCTAAAATACTGTGGGATTTGAGTTGCAGGTGAGAAAAGGGTAGGAACAAAAAAGCACGTGGGAGGGCAGGAGTAGCATTAGTTCTGGCCTGACAGCCACACCTGGTAAGGTCCACACTGGATTAAAAGCCCATTGTGTGGGGTCCAGCTGGCATTGCCAGGCTCACTCCTCACTCTCAGCACTGAGCAGGGACACAGAACCACCACTAATTAATTCAGAAACTCGTTAGTGTTTGCAGCTTCCTCTGCAGTGCCTCCTCCTTGCCCCCATGGGCTCAGTTACTGCAGCTCCATAATGCAGGACTGGGGCTGTCTCTCCCTCTCAGGCTGCTGGCAGGGCTGGAGGCCCCTGCAGGACAGCCCCGCTCCCACAGAGCTCTTCAAAGCCCCCTTTGGTATCACCACCACATCCAGAGTGAGTGGGGTTACCTTCATGCTCCACACCTGCAACAGGGCAACAGTCAAAACCAGGCTGAAAGGGCCTCAAAAAATGACACAGAATCATGGACTGGTTTGGGTGGGAAGGGACCTCAAAGATCATCCAGATCCAACCCCCTGCATGGGCAGGGACACCTCCCACCAGCTCAGGTTTCTCCAAGCCCCATCCAACTTGCCCTTCAACACTGCCAGGGATGGGGCAGCCACAGCTTCCCTGGGCAACCTGGGCCAGGCTCTCACCACCCTCACAGGGAAGAATTTCCTCCTCATGTCCAACCTTAAACTACCCAGATTTGCTGACTGAGAGCAGAGATGCGACCTCCTATGGTGCCAACAGCACCAGCTGCACAACAGGTGACAAACACCTGAAGCTATCACTGTGTGACCAGCAAGGATTGTCCTTCCTTCTCACCAAGAACAACCCAGCAGCTCAGTTTGTTTGGCAGCAGCAGTGAGAAGCCCCAGGAGCAGCTGGGAGCTGTGGGGCAGGGTGCTCAGGCTGGGAGCCCAGCAGCAGCAGGAGGAAGAGGAGGAGGAGGAGGAAGAGTGAGAGCCCCGTGCAGGGTGGAGTGTCCTGTTTACAGCTCTGGGCTATTATCATCCCCCCACACTGAGCCAGCACAGCTGCCACCTGGTCACCAGCTCTGGAGCTGCTCCAGGCCAGTTCCCCCAGCTGAGAAGCCTCAGGTTGTGGCACTTTTACTTTCCATGTGACAGTGAAGCTGCTGCAGATAACAGAACCCTGCCCATATCTCCAGGAGCCATTTGGCTGCCTCCAGCTCTGCACCAGCCTCCTGTGCAGCCCCAGGGCAGACAGTGCTCAGTGCTGGAGTTCTAGACTTCCAGTGTCCCTAAACATTCCCAACTTCATCAACACTGGGGAGCTCAGAGCTTTCTGGAACAGTCCCATCTAGACCAGCCCATTTCTGCATCTAGAAAAGATAAAATAAAAAGTCTAAGTAAACTTTTGAAAATCCCCAGGTTCACTTTTCCAAAAGGAGCACCAGAGCTGAATCAAAAAACCACAACGACCAGCTGAAATACAGTTCCCATCACTACTTTCTTCAGAGTTGTAAAATTTTCTCCCTTTCCTCTCCAGATTTCACCCTGGGGAAGGAAACTGTATCAGAAGAATGTTTGGAAATTTAGGGACATGCTGTTCAGATCCTCATGTTTCTTGGAATATGTCCCTGCAAAGGTCTCTCTTCAAGCAAAAAATAACAGTCCATGCTTAAATAAAATCAGCTTTCAAGTTAACCATGGAATGACAGGCAGGGAAGCTTTCCCTGCAGCCTGTCCTATCAGGGTGGACCTGATGGGATTGGGCCTGGCCTGGGATGCAGTTCTTGGTGTACTGGCTCAAGGAAGAGCTGTAAGTTTTCAGAAGGTGTCAGGGAGAGTTTAGCTGAGATGGAACCCAAGCAACTCTGTCAATAACTACCTTGGGCAAACACCTTCTACCCCAGAAATTACTGCTAATTATTTAAATTCTGTATCAGCTTCCTCCATCTCCACTTTTTAATGATCTTCACACCATCGTATTCAGATGATGCTCCTGACTTGAGGCACTTAGATAACACAAATGCCCAAGTTGAATTTCTCATGGGCCTGTCAAACCACAGCAGGGCCCTGTGACATAGAAATATCTTTTAGACAAAAGACTCACCCCAACCCAGGCTGCTGGATGAGTATCAGCATCCCCTCCCACACCCCAGCACCACTTCCTTGATCTTTAACATCTTCCCAGCCCATCTGAGCTGGGAGCTCTCTAGATGAACCATAGTTTTTTGCATGAGAGCTGCTGGGACACAGTTCAGGTGGCACAGAGGGGACACAGGCTGGCACTGCTGTGCTGGCTGCCAGGTCAGGAGCTCCTGCAGGAGAAGGGCAATGGGCTGTCCTACCATGCCTGGGCACTCCAAAAGCCCCTTCTGGTCACCTTAAGGACTGTGCTGCTTAAGATTACAGCTCTGACCAACAGCTTTGGTGTTGAGCAGGTCTTGGCCACAGCATCCCCCAGCTTGCAGGCTCCAGCCTGACCCAGGGAGGCTGGTTCACAGCAAGAAACCCCGTGCCCTTCTTCTGCTTGGTTTAAAGTATAACTGGACAAGAGGCATGTGCAGGACTCCCAGAGGGTGTGAACAACACACAAAACCACGTGAGGGGAACACACTTCATCTGACCTCACCCTGCAAGAAGGTTCTTGACCAGAAAACAGAGCTCTGAGGACCAACACCACCTGAATGGGGCATTTCCATGGCAGTGACAAGGAGCAGAAGTGCTGGTGAAATAAAGATCAAAACTGAAGCTTCTAACCCCTTGAAATCTCATTTTGATTCCTCTGCAGTTTCATTATGGTGAAATTACCTGCCAGGCTGTTGCCAAACAGGACAAACAGTTCTCAGCAGCAAGAAACCTTCAGCACTAGGGCCTCAGCTTTTATTTCACTGGTTTTTCCCCCAGACACACCCTCAGCTTTTCTTTCACCTTTATTTTTTCCCCCCAGATGGAGCATGCAAAGCAAATTCCATGTCCTGTTGCACTGAGGAGATGCAACAGAATCAAGTTATTTTGGAGCAGTCCCCATCTTTAACAAAGACTGAAAATCTTGACAGGGAAAAAGAATTGCCTCTTTTCCCCCCCCCAGCCTCATGCCTTTATTGCACTTTCTACCTTCAGCAGAACATGAAGGTTTCAGAAAGCCCAGAGCCAGCCCTGGTACTTCCTTCTGACACACCAAAGTGCTG